GCCACTCGGCCGGCCCTATACTTAATTCTTAATAATGGCTATGTTTAAAAATCAGCTCATGAAATTCCTGAAAATTTTAACCATCGGTTCTAGCAAGCCAGTTCAAGCCACCCCTAGCGCACCATTGCAGTTAATGACAGAACTGAAAAAACATAAATATACTCACATCACTACAATAGGTGCTAGGCTTTTCATCATCACCACAGATCACATCAACACATTCAAGAACAGGTCTTGATGGTCCTTCCTAAAAAGGAAGTGAGCAAAAGTACAGTCATGAACAATCATTCAAACCAAACTTGCATTTACAATCTGTGGTTTTTGTTGTTGTTGAAATTAGCAAGAATTCTTCTGAGAAGGAAACCTTGCAGGTGGCACAGAATAATCAGAAACAAAAGCGGCAAAGGAAAAGATTCAGAGTAAATGAATACGTAACAGAAGAAAAACCCCTAAAGAGTCTAAATCTACATAGGTGAATAAAGCCTTGTGGATTCCTCTGGAAATGGGAAATAGTATAGGGATAGTGTTAAACATATACAGATATCATTGTATGGCGTCTTTTATCTGGGATGGTTATCAGTCATCTTAGATATTATATCTAAGCTCAAAATCATGGATTTCTTTGATAGCTCTGCTTCATCCTCCACGTCCTTATACAATCAAACATCAAACACTGAATGTTCTCAGTCTTTCTTTACATACATACTACCGTCAACACAGACTAGGCCTTAGATACCTCAGTTAAAAACCTAGATTTTATTCTATAGGCAAAAAAAATCAGTAAGGGTTGGCCCAGTGGCTCGCTGGTTAAGAGTTGGCTTGGGAGTGCAAGCTCTGAGCAGCAGGGCCACCAGTTTAGATCCCACATGGGCCAGTGACGCTGCATGCTCTACAGCTAAGATGGTGAACAACAGCTCGACCTGGAGCTGGGCTGCCGTGAGTCGCCGGCAACGGCGCAGGCTGCAGCGGGGCTGCATTGGGCTGCCATGAACTACCATGAGTGGCCAGCAGCCAACGTGAGCAGATGGCAGCTGGCGTGAGCTGCCGTTGGCAGCCATACAACGGCTGGCGACTGACTGCCTCAGCCAGGAAGAGCGCAATAATCACAATACCAAGATGGGCCAGTGAAGCGACATCCTGCACAGCTAGACTGAAGAACAAAAGGACAGCAACTTGTCTGTTCCCCTTCCCCGATTCCCCAACACTGTCCCCCTCCCCCAATTCCCCAATAAAATCGTTTAAAAAAAATTCAATAAATAGTGTTGAGATGAGAACATCAGAGCTATTTCAAGATTAACAGAGCATAAAGTGTAGGAAGACTGGTAACAACATAATCAATCCAGACAAATGATAATGTGGTGCTAAAATAGAGTGAGGATTAGAAGAACAATGAGGAAGTACACTCTTCTATATGTATATTCCAATAAAATTTACACTACAGATAAGGAATCCAAACCAGAACACATTAAGTTGTAACATGCTTCTTGATAAAAGATACAAAACATAGAGAGGGGTGGCCAGGTGGCTCAGTTGGTTAGAGCTCAAGCTGTGAGCAATAGGGTTTGTGGTTCAATTCCCAGATGGGCCAGTGAGCTGTACTCTCCACAATTAGATTGAAGACAATGACTTGAGCTGAGCTGCTGCTGAGCTGCCGGTGGGCAGACGGATGGATCAGTTGGTTAGAGCGCGAGCTCTGAGCAACAAGGTTGCTGGTTCAACTCCCGCATGGGATGGTGTGCTGCACCCCCACCCCCAACTAAATTGAAAATGGTGACTGGACTTGGAGCTAAGCTGCGCCCTCCACAACTAAGATTCAAGGACAACAACTTGACTTGGAACTGATGGGTCCTGGGAAAAACACAATGTGCCCCAATAAAGTAAAAAAAAAAAACTTTAGGGGGCCGGCCGAGTGGCTCAGTTGGTTAAGAGCTCGTGCAAGAGTCTGAGCTCTGAGCAACAGCGGTTCGATTCCCGGCCCAAGCTGAGCAGCCGCTGAGCTGTGAACAGGTGGCAGGATGGCTCAGCTTAAAAAAAAAAACTTTACAAAAACAAAACAAACCAACAACAACAACAAAAAAAACACAGAGAAATGAGAAGATCCTGGTGGAGCCCAGAATAAGATAGGGTTAAAGGGGAAAGTAAATTCTGTCTCTGAATGTATTTTAGAATAGAATTAAATTATCATTCTTTAAAGGCAATACAAATATTTTTATTACGTTCTTTCTGGTACAGCTATTCTACAGAGCATATAATTCACTTCTCCTGAAGGCGCTGTCACATCTTCGATCCTCTATTTGGAAAGAAAACAATATAAGAGAGTCTATCAAGCTGGATGTACAAAACTTGGGATGCAATAATACAAAAGATACTCTACATTTAAAACAAAATTTGAACACAAGCTAACATATTAACTCAGTTAGAATTTACAATATAATTATTTATTCCTCAGAGTAATGATTTATACATATTTATTTTTCCAATCTTCATTTTGTATATTCCTTCTGTGTTTCTCAAACAAGGCACACAGATCATAACATGTGTCACTCCTAATTATATTTACACAAAGCACCATCAAGATTTAATGGTGTCCCATTCATTTCTGTCTTTATACCACAGTCAGGAGGAACCAAAATATTTTTTTCCTATAGGCCTGTACAACCTTTTTTTCAAATGCTTTTCAGTACTAAAACAGACACTGTGGCTCTTCAATTTTCATAACTACATCATTTACTTCTCACCGCAGAGGAGGCAAGGTCAGCATACAAACCCTCTTGGTACCCCCAAATTTATAAAAGTTCCAAGTGTCAAGAAAAAAGTACCAAGTGTCAAGAAAAAAGTACCATATGTACTATTAACGGGGAAGAATGACAAGGAAATGATCTTGTAAATAATTTGTATAGAAACCTTACCAGAACAACAAATACCACCATTAACACTTCAATGTTTAGGGAGGAAATTTTATTCAATTTAAAAAACAGCGATTGGGGCCAGCAGAGTGGCTCAGTTGGTTAAGAGCTTGCCCAAGAGTGCGAGCTCTGAGCAACAGGATAACTGGCTCAAATCCCCCATGGGCCAGTGACACTGCACCCGGAACTGAGCTGCTGCTGAGTTTTCAACAGGTGGCAGGATGGCTCAGCTGGTGAGAGCACGTGCTCCTAACAACAAGGCTGCTGGTTGAATGGTGGCCTATGCCCATCCGAACTAAAGACTGAACTCAGCACCTTGAGCTGAGCTGCCGCCCCGTGGCTCAGGGGATAGAACGCGGGCTCTTAACAAGGCTGCAGGTTTGACTCCTGTGCGGGATGGTGGCTACGCCCACCCACAACTATTGGGTTGTTGGAAAAGTCATGACGTATTTTTTCTGTTTTTCATTGGAAAAATGTGTCATGCCTTTTCCAACAACCCAATAATTGAACACAGCACTTGAGCTGAGCGGCATGACTGGACTTGGAGCTGAGCTAACTGCTCCCTCCACAACTAAGATTGAAGGACAATAACTTGGTTGTTCCCCTTCCCCAATTCTCCAATAAAAAAATAAAGAAAATGGAAATTAGGGCCGGCCGAGTGGCGCGATGGTTAAGAACTCGCTTGGGATGCCAGAAGGCCCCGGTTCGGATCCCACATATGAGGGCCAGTGACACTGCCCTCCACAGCTAAGATGCTGAACAACAGCTCAACCTGGAGCTGGGCTGCCATGAGTCGCCGGCGACGGCGTAGGCTACAGTCCCTGTGGCAGTGGATTGCCATGGGCTACCATATGTAGCCAGCAGCCAGCGTGAGCGGCCAGCAGCCGCAGTGAGCGGCCGTCCAGAAGCCGGCAACTGATCTGCCTCGCCTGGGAAGAGCGCAATGATGGTGCCAACTTGGGCCAGTGAAGCAACGTCCTCCACAACTAGACTGAAGAACAAAACGACAGCAACTTGTCTGTTCCCCTTTCACCAATTCCCCAGCACTGTTCCCATCCCCCCAATTCCCCAATAAAAATCTTAAAAAAAAAAAAAAATGGAAATTAAAAAAAAAAAAATTTGATTTACAAGGTTAAATGTAGAGCAACTAAAAAAAACATACATATTAAACAGGCACTCATTTAAAAAAAAACGTAAACACCTATAACAGCAAACCTCAACTCATCACAGAAATCAGAAAATGAGTGGTTTGGGGTAGAAGTGATTGTAGCAAGCTAAATTACCACTTTAAACAGAAGCTTTGTAATACTTTTTAACAGTTTGGGGTGAAAATTACCAAAATGTATCCTAATATCCCCTTTCGTTTTCTAAACCAATGCTTTACAAAGTGTGTTCAGAGATTCATATACCCTGCACTTGTGCCAAAATACAGATTCCTAAGGCCCACTTTCAAATTCTTATTCAATAAGTCTGGAGTGGGGACCAGGAAATCTGCACATTTACATTTACTAATTAATGCTTGAAAACTGTCCCAAAAGGGATCTTCATTATAAACATCAATTGTACCATGTGTAACATCATGACCTCAGAGCTTAGTGACATCTTCAAGCTATCTGCCTTCATGTGATGAAGATACATCTTAGGTTTTGAGTTCTTGGCACCCTTGTTTTCTTTTCTTCTTTTTTTAAAAGATTTTATTGGGGAATCGGGGAAGGGGAACAGACAAGTTGCTGTCCTTTTGTTCTTCAGTCTAGTTGTGGAGGACATGGCTTCACTGGCCCATGTTGCTATTATCATTGCACTCTTCCTGGCTAAGGCAGATCGGTCACGGGCCATTGGATGGCCTCTCATGGCGGCTCATGGCGGCTCATGCTGGCTGCCGGCCACTCACGAAGCCCAGCTCCAGGTGGAGGTGTTGTTCAGCATCTTAGCTGTGGAGGGCAGTGTCACTGGCCCTCATATGGGATCTGAACCGGGGCCCTGCTGCTCAGAGCTCGCACTCCCTTGTGCTCCCAAGCCAACTCTTAACCAACCAGCCACTCGGGCGGCCCCCTTCTTGTTTTTTAGCTCCTTCCTCCTCACTAGCCTTCCCTTCACCCTCATCGGTGGGTCCTCTTTTAGATGATACTCTTGCCCCATTTCAAAACACAGTCTTAAGAGACCAGAACTGTGCATAGATAAGTATAAAATGGCTCTCCATGAAGGCATGAGAAGAGTGATTAAGTGTACAACATGCACTTCAGGCCATGGTCTTTGGGAGGGCTACTGTGGTTGCTCAGAGTCATCTTTGGGTAAATGTGCTAATCCTACGCCCACTCCACGCTGTCCAGTACCTATGGGACATGCATCCGTATTTGTTCAATGATGAACAGGTGGGGTACAGTCTCATAAGGGCTTACCACGCAGGGTCTCTGGGGGAAACCCGAATATCGTTGGTACTTACACTAACAAACTGAATGTCATCTTCATTTTCATCCGTTGTGGACTCAGATGCCTCAGGCCCAGCTGGAGGGGCAGATTCTATTATCTACAAAAATAAGCCAAAACACGCTTATCGTATTACACAGCCACGTTACTCGCAGGAAGAGGTTTTCCCAAAAGGAACGAAAAAGGCACAGCTTTAAAGGAAACCTAACTGAGCACGAGTGCACGCAGCCCGTGGAGTCGGGTCATGCCTCTGCATACGTGGAGCTGGAGGGACCGGACGGCGAAGACGAGTTTCCAGCCCCTCCGAACTCCCCTATCTGCCCAAGGAGAAGGCATGCAGGCTCACGACTGAAGAGCAAGCCTGTCTCAAAATGTCGCTCCCACAGGCAGAGCAGCGGCAACAAGGAACTCCGGAGCCGGTGCAGGGGGCCGGGGGCGGCCGGGCGGCCATTGTTGCTGCTGGCTCCTCGCTCAGACCTGCACCGTTCAGTCCCGAACGCTGGGCTCGGCCCGACACGCTGAGGGGCTCGCCCCGTGGCCGCCGCCGAGCACCAGGCCTCGGCCCCACCGGAACACAAAACCCTTCGCGGTTCGCCCGAGAACGCCGCGGCCCGACGCCCCACTGCTCACCTCGGACCCTGGGTCTCCCATTTCTCCGACGGCCTAACTGACAGCACCGCTGCTCCTGCTGTCCCTGTGGCCGCCGCCGTCACTGCAGTCCGCGCCGCCACCGCCGCCATAGCTACCACCACGACCTCCCTTTCCGCTTCGCGCCGCTGTGACCTGTCCCTGCGTGAGAGTGGACACCGCCGGCGAAAAGAGGTGCATAACCACTTTAGAAGGAGGAGCGGCTAGCTCTTGCCTGTTATCTTCCCGGGTCCCGGTCTTTTTTCCTGCACCGCACAGGATGCTGGGAATTGTAGTTCTCGTTGGTCCCCAAACCGTTCCGCATCTCAGACTTTTTTGCTTCGTTTGTGTGCTGGAACTTCTCTGCTGGACTCCCAGAACCCTCAGAGATACTCTCATCAATGGGTGGTTGTAGAAATGGATGCTTTTGTTGTGAGATGATAGAAAACTCTTATTCTGCCATCTAGCTGACCCAACAGCTGAAAATACAATTGATTTTTGTATATTGATTTTGTATCTTGTAACTTTGCTGAACTCACTTATTCTTTTTAAACTTTTTAAAGTTTCCATTATATCTACTACATAGACAAACCTGTCATCTCTGAATAAAGGCAGTTTTTATTATTCTTTTCCAGTCTGGATGCCTTTTATTGCTTTTCTTGGCTTACTGCACTAGCTAGAAGCTCCAAAACAATCTTGAATATATATGCTAAGAATGAACATTCTTGACTTGTTTCTGTTTTTAGAGGGAAAGCATTCAGCTTTTCATCAGTAAGTATGATGTTAGCTGTAGATTTCTCATGGAGGTCCTTTACTGGCTTGAGGAAATTTCCTTCAATCCCTAATTTTTTAAGAGGTGTTTTTTTGTTTTTTGTTTTTGTATTTTTGTGCTTGTGTGTTTGTGTGTGGTTTTTTTTTTTTTTTTTTTTAGCTGAGCCATCCTGCTACCTGTTGGCAGCTCAGCGGCTGCTCAGCTCGGGCTGGACTCGAACCACTGTTNTGCTCAGAGCTCAAACTCTTGAGCGAGCTCTTAACCAACTGAGCCACTCGGCCGGCCCTGTGTTTGTGTGTTTTTAAAACAGGAATAAACAGGCTCTCTAGCTGATCGTCCAGGGATATACTTATCATATATTGTATATATATTTCCCAGAATTAAAGTAATATAAAATTTTTGTATAAAATGAACATTATATATATATACTTTCTATGTAATAACTATTATAAATATACTTTATATATACTATATTCTATATGTATTATATTTCCCAGAATTAAAGGCTACAATTATCCAGATTAAAAGAGTTCATCATGTATCCACACAATGAATGAAAAGGAATACACAAACAGGGCATATTTTCCTCAAATTCTAGTATATAAGGGGAAGAGAAGAACAAAAGAGCCTCAGTAAGGATAGGGAAACATATTCTGAATAATATAATGAAAATTAAAATTACATTAGTCTCTTGATAGCAAGTGGTTGGCAGATGTAGCACATAAAAACAGGACAGCCAGTTAAATTTGAATTTAAAGATGAGTATTTACTGTAAGTATATCCCAAATATCAAAAGAGATGTACTTATACTAAAAAAATTGTTCATCTGATTCAAATTTAACTGGGCATCCTGTATTTCACCCCGCAATCCAGCAATACTGGATGCAACTCTCCAGTAAGAACATGCAAGTAATCTTACTTACCTTTGTTTTATCAAAGAAATAAAAAAAAATCAACAAGGGGAAATAAAACAGCAACAAGAAAACACCTTGCCCTGCTATTTTTAGGGAAATAGGCAACCCATAAAATCTGCAGAATCCAAAAACTTAAAAGTTCTTAAAAAAAAGTTAAATTGAGAAAAAAATACAAAGGTAGTGTCAAGGTGCCCCATGAGTGGCAGATCCTAGAAAGTACCAGCAAAAGTATAGCTCCTGAAAAGGAGGAACTCATCCAAAAATGTAAAATCTATACCCTATAAATCTAACAACTGGGCGGGGGGGAGGTGGTAGGCTGAACTTCAGCAGAAGTGATGCAGAGACAAAAGGCACAGGAAGAATCTAGGAGGCTCCTAGCTCCAGATCTCAGAAAGATCCAACAAAATCATACTCCCTGAAGGTGAAGGGCTCATCCGGAAGGGCAGGGGCTCTGTCCTCTGTTTGTTGGTGCCAGGGAAGGACCTGGGGATGCAGGGCTGGTGACAGAAATCCTTCCAGACTCCGCTTAGGTCACAGAACCAGAGGGAGCAGGGCTACACAAAAAATTTCTCAGAGGATTCATACTGGTCAGAATCAGTGGTCTCTCTGACAGTAAAGAAAGGTTTGAAAGGTTTGAAGCCTAGAAAGGAACGCTGGCCTCTCCCACCATTCATGAACCCATGTGAAAATAGCTGGACCAGAAAAAACCATGTCATTAAAAAATGTGTTCAAGAAAGTCTATGGCACAGCATCAGAAGATCTTGTAAGTAAAAACACGAAAAAGAGCTGCAAAATTGACAAATGCATGAAAGACATTCACAGAAAAATGCTGTCACAGAACAGATGAAAATGCTGATCACACACATCCACCATGGGGTAAAAATCTTAACAAACTACCATCTCTATGTAGGAAGACACAGAACACACATACTGGAACTCATACATTAGTAAATTTTTCTTTGACACTTTGCTGCACTTATTGTAGACTGAGAAAGTCCTTCCCCTACAGGGAATATAAAAATATTCATGTTTTCAAAATCTTAGTTCAATTTTTACTTTTTATTAATCTGAAATTCTTTATAAAATATGGTTTGAAGTAGGAATATCTTATTTTTCATTCATCAATTGTCTCAGTATTATTTATTGAATAAACCTTCCTTTTCCTATTATTAAAGGTTCTATTTTAATCATATTCTAAATTCTTGTATATATTATATATCTCCATTAGTTTTCTTAATTTGTAACTCATTTAGATCCAATCTATGAAGCTGAATTAAAAACAATACATCTATTATCTAAAAAAATATCAACATATCACAAAATACTTTAAGGAAGGACCATAGACATTCCAGTTGAATCATAGTTATATTTTGTAAAGGAAATTTTATTTACATTTAGTAGGAAAAACTTATATTACAAAGTATTGTTTTAAAGGAAATAACATTTTAGTAAGATTATCCTTTTTCAATAAAAATATAAGCACCCTGGACATTGTGTATATATCCTATTGTACATAGAATGGAAGTTGACCGTGGCTATTGTCCATATATCCTACAAAACATGGCTGTTTAGAAGATAAAGAAACCAGAGTCACTTAGCCCAATTACAATGGTAACACCTCAGTGGGTGGATAAAGAAGCCATCACCCTAGAAAAGGATTTTCCCCCTGGATTTTATACATTAATAAGAAACAAGCAAATACTTTTAATTTTTTTCAATGGGATTTATTTGTAGTTAAGTAAAAGTAGCAAATGTTAACATAAGTTATTTCCTTAAGAATATGCATTTGGTACAACCACATTGTTATCAAACAACATTTATGGAATATTCCCTGGGTCCATAGTACTGAACTTTTTATTATGTGCATCCTCTTTTCCAAGTTTAAACATAGCCTTGTGCACAGAAGAAACATGGTGTGGCAGTGCGGAGTTGTCCCATGTGACAACCTGACATCAAGGAGAAGCCTCTTGATGAAGAATGTTTTATGTTTCATTCACTTACAAAATGGCATTTTTCTTTTTTGTGTGATTATCAACCCCATATGATTTTGTTTTCATTGATTTTTTTCTTCTGATACTCTGAAAACAATCAGTGAAAACTAAGCAGCGTAGCAATATAACCAACCAAACACATGGGACATTATACCTTATATAGCATGTTTTAGATGATACTGATGTTTTATATTACATATCGGTATTTATACATTGGGCAATAAAAAGTTAGAAGCATATAAACAAACATAAAAAAGGTTTGTTTGAAAGTGGCTACATTGTTTTAACAATCACAAAAACCTGGGTTTATTTCCTTTTCAGGAATACCGTAGAATAATACTATTTTAAAATAGGAAGGTCTTGCTGCTCTCGTTTTTTTTATTTCTATCTATCTTATACATTTTAAGTAACAGAATTATCCTGTAACTTTATTGCTGAAGCATTATTACTTGGTCAGAAATGATTGCCAGATTTTAGGCTGACTTTGCAGCTCTCATTCACGTGTGTGAACATTGATTATTTCACTGTATTTTTCCACACATGTGCTTATGTTAAAGATCCAAAAACCAAAAGGGTATCATTGGTAATAACAAATGGAGGGGTGACTGGTTAGCTTGGTTAGAGTGCGGTGCTGATAACACCAAAGTTGCAGGTTCAATCCCCACATGGGCCACTGTGAGCTGTGCCCTCCTTAAAAGACTCAGCTATGCCATTGTAGCATGAAAGCAATGTGTAACCAATGACCATAGCTGTTCCCCAATAAAATTAGAGGAAAAAAAAGTGCAGCAATTGATTAAGACAATGACAAATCTTAGGGGTTGAAGTTTTTGTTGTTATAAGAGTTCTGACTATCCTGTTAAGTTAACTGTACAGAGAAGCATTTTGGGATGAAAAAATGCATAGTTCCAAGAAACTATAATGCATGCTTATTTGACTGCTAGAAATTCTCTAGTTTGATGCATCGTGGCTACCTAGGGTGGAGTTGACATGCAGCTGCTTCAGCAAGCTTGTTGTTCCATCAGGAGAGCCTGCGATGTCACAGATGTCCCCTAGCCTGTCACTGCACATGTCTGTCTGTGCTCACTGCCAGGGAGGTTGCAGATTCTCCGACAAAATCCAATGTTAGATTTAGAACCGGAGGTGCTTTGTTTCAGATACCTATGGTACCTATAAAAAAGCAAATTTCAAAAAATAGAACAAATTTATTTTAGAATTCTTACAGTATTTTTAACTGTGGTATGAGTTGTTATTTTTGTGTCTACTACAAATTTTTGTTTAAAAACAAATTGTTAATAAGAACTATTCTTATTAAGGTGACTTAAGAATTCTTTTATGATCTAGTCAGAGGAATTCCAGCATAAATAACAGTTAAAATATCATATATATATATATATATATATCAAATAATTTAATAAAAATTTTTATTAGGTAAAATGCATAACATACAAAGTAAAATGAACCATCCCCACATACCCATCAACCATCTTTAAAAATTATCAACAATTCTGTTCATCATTCTTCAGAAACCTTAACTGATGGTTTAAATATCAGGCAATTTTCCAAATCTGCTTTACCTCTTTCAAAACTCAAGAAAATCAAATGAGCTGGGTCAGAGGCAGAATTATAATAAAGCTAATAACCCTTACTTGCATAGGTACCTTCCAAAAAAGAGGTCTTAGTAATATCTTTACATGTTTATATATTTTTGTTAAATTTACTAAAGTTAATTATTTCAACCATAACTAGTTAAGACCACTGTCTCATGGCATTTCAGCTGCCTTTCAGTCATATTTCTCCTCTGATTACAACCATGGAGTGGCCATGGGCATTCCTGAGATTTTAATAAGGATTCACTGGGATGTCGTTTTGCACTTTGCAAATCTCTTCCATGTATAGTTACATTATTGCTGGTCATTCCAGTTTGCAATGTCTTCTAGGACTACCATGAATATGGCAAATTCAAAGGATATTTAAGAGCACTCACTCCATAGAAAACTTGAAATGCTCTGACATCTTATAGCTCAGCTATCTCAAAGAGGTTTCCCAAATTTAACAAGAATCCTAAAAATTACATGGTTAGTAAAGGGTTGAGAATTTGAAAGAAACCTTTGTAAACTGTCAAAAAGAAAAAAAAGCAATTTTCCATCAACTATGCTAGAAGATAGTCTAAATGATCTATTCTTTCTATTGAAAAGGCTATTACAAAATTGTTGTCAAATGAAGAGGCAGCCAATAAGTATGCAACTCTAAGAACGTAGGATAAAAGTATTATACAGATGCTAATAAAATATTATGTAATTTCCTCTACATGATGTGAAGTTGAGATATTTGTTAACTTTTAAACATTACGTAGTTTTAATAATTTATCCCAAATTAATATACAGAGTTGTAACTGATTATGTAGTCATAATTTTATGTTTCTTTTCTTAAACAGAGCTATCCAAATTCTATAAGCTTCAGGTTCCACCAATCCTGGATCCACCACTGAGGTAGGTATTATTATTATCCATGTTTAAATTAAAATTCAGAGAGGTCCAATGACTTTCCAAAGGCTACACATGTATTAAGAGGTAGAACAGGCTTCAAAACTAGACTTTCTAATCCTAAAATATTTACTTTTATATGTCAACTAGGGTAGGCTATGGTACCCAGTTGTTCGGTCAAACATCAGTCTAAACATATATGTGCAGGTATTTTTAAGGTGCGATTAACATTTAAATCAGTACATTTTCAGTAAAGCAGATTACCCTCCATAATGTGGGTGGGCCTCATCCAATCAGCTGAAGGCCTTAAAAGCAATAACTGAGGTCCTCTGAGGAAGGAGGAATTCTGTTTCCAGATTACTCAAGACTTTAATGCCAACTCTTCCCTAGGTTGCCAGCCTGCTAGCCTGCCCTGTGAACTTCAGACTTTCCAGTTCCCATAATTGTGTGTGTCAATTTCTTAAAATAAATGTCTTATATGTACATCCTATTGCTTCTGTGTCTCTGGAGAACCATGACTAATGCAATAAGAAATACAAAGAACTATATGCTAGTGTTGGCTCTCATGTAGTTACGAATCATGTGACCTTGTCAGGGCACTTAACCTCTTTAGGCTTTAGTATCATTATCTCCAAAATAAGGAAATCATTTCAGACCAGAATTTTCCAACCTTGGCCCAATTGACATTTTTGACTGGGTAATTGTTTGTTGTGGGGGGCTGTCCTAAATATTGTAGGAAGTTTAGCAACATTCCTGGCTTCCCTCTACTAGATGCCAGTAGTATCACCCAGTTGTTAACAATCAAAAACATCTCCAGGGCCGGCCGAGTGGCACGTTGGTTAAGAGCTGGCTTGGGACGCCAGAGGGCCCCAGTTCGGATCTCACATATGAGGGCCAGTGACACTGCCCTCTACAGCTAAGATGCTGAACAACAGCGCAACCTGGAGCTGGGCTGCCTTGAGTCGCCAGCGACATGGGCTGCAGCCCCTGCTGCAGTGGGTTGCCATGGGCTACCGTGTGTAGCCAGCAGCCAGCGTGAGCGGCCAGCAGCCGCAGTGAGCGGCCGTCCAGAAGCCGGCGACTGATCTGCCTTGACCGGGAAGAGCGCAATGATGGTGCCAACTTGGGCCAGTGAAGCAACATCCTCCACAACTAGACTGAAGAACAAAAGGACAGCAACTTGTCTGTTCCCCTGCCCCCAATTCCCCAGCGCTGTTCCCCTCTCCCAATTCCCCAATAAAAACCTTTAAAAAAAAAACAAAAAACATCTCCAGACATTTTCAAATATCCTCCAGTTGAGGGGCAGGGGACAAAATCCCTCCCAACCCATTTGAACACTGCTTTATTAGATCATCTTTAAGTTATAATATAGGCATATGTAATATTATAGTAGAGATTACATATACTGAGGCAGCTTTGGAAAGTTCTGGGGAAAGCTGTTTGACCACTTAGTGGCATGTTATTGAGGTGATATTTTAATATTTGGTAATTCTTATAAATATAATATTCTTCAGCACTTATAAGAAAGAAGCAAAAAATGGAGAAAGGTCAGAAATATTGGCAACATCAAGCTCTTGGCAAAGTGCGAGCTGCAGGCAGCTTAAGGGCAGTGAAAAATAATGTAAACGGAGTCACTTCAAAGTGGAATCGGAGCTGCCATCCCAGAGGAAGTGCCTTTGTATGTTTTATTCCTCAACCCCCTGGGATATTAAAACAGGGCAAAATAATCTTTGGACTGAACCTAAAGCAGCCGTTATCCAAAACAACTGTTTGCAAAGATAATAAGAAAACAGGTGTTATGACTACCAGACAGAAAATTAGAAACATTCTTTAGAATTAGCATCACTGTCTTACTTCTCTGTACAATAGTAATTCCTTCCTTCTATTCAGGTAATTTTCTCATGAGCACCCCTTACCTTTGCCTCCTAATTGGAACACTATTTGGGTTTCTGTCTGAATCAGTGCTTCTTGAATAGCTGTTCTTTTAGAACTCAAATAAATGCTTGTTGCCTCTCACTTAGGCCTTTTAGTTTTAGGTTAACAGCAGCAAAGGAGTGAGAGAGAATAGATGAAAAAGGGGGAAGGATGGACTTTAGCATTTATCCTCAAATAAATTAGCTGGGAAATGAGTTTTTTGGATTTTTTTCAAATCCAAGCCACCAGTGGCAACGCTGAGCTCAGTAGTGGGTGGAGATCACAGTCTGCCACAGGGCACATGGGTGGGGGTGGCTAGGCTTCTTGGATGTATAGAAATTCATATAAATCTATGTGATTTTTCAATTCATATTGCCTTGCTAATATTAATGTAAGGAAAGTTATTTTTCCAAAGAATACATTGCGGTGGGGGGAAGATTGAGGAGGGGTATGGTTTGCCTCAATAAGTGTAGTCACCTTTAGGCTCCCATTAGTTAAATGATCGGAAAAAAAAAATCAGCAGCATTCCACTAGATGGTGCTATATCTGACCAATTCATCAAGCACGGATAAATTACGTTTTATATGACCCTGTCCTTCCCAGCATATTTTCTCAGTCCTTTTGAAATAATTTTGATTCAGCTATACTTCAAATGAAAGATACCTGTCAATTAAAAAAACTTATTTTCCACTCAGAACATACTTCTGACACCTTGTTAATCTCTACCTGTGTTTCAAAAATACATGCATTTCTGTTCCAAGCAATTGGGCAACAAAGCAAGGCTTAGTCTCGGAATGCACAAGAATATACTGTGTTCATAGCAAAAGACTTGTTCCTTTTACAAATTTTAATTAATGCCATAGCCAGGTGAATTAATAATACTACTACTGGCAAGTACGAGAAAAACTAATACAAAAACCTTTTAACTTTAATTTCTTCAATGCTCTGCGGACTGATATTGTCAGAGATGAGTTTTGTGTTTACCCTTGGCAGCCTGAGATATTAAAAAGGCAGGAGTTAGGATATTAAAATGCTACGCAGAGCTCTGAAATACAATAACGTGCTACAAAAGATAGCTCTATGACTTGGCATGGCAGTTAGAAAGGGAACTTGGCCATTCTACACCAGGGTAACAGGTAGACTCACATCAAAAAGAGAATTCTAAGGGCTCATTTAAGCAATTATTTTCTAAATGGGAAGTTGTAAGATTCACAATCTCCTGAAAATTTTAATCACTTGGGGAGAAATAGATTACAAATACACTTATCTTTTATAAATCTTCATGTCAATCTACCAGTATATAGGAGCCAAGGGAAAGAATCCCTCTGCAGTTGTTAAAAGTAGTATTGTTTGTTTGTTTTTAAGGAAGAGAGAATATTGTTGACCCTCATCAGTAGCCTTACTTGAATAGCAAAATAGTAAGGGACCCTCAGGGAGGATGGGGCGGGAGTCAGCAATGGGTGGAGGGTGGGTGGGGGAAATTACTGCATTACAGGCAATTCCATATCCCATTTAGAATATGATCAGAAGAAAAAGACAAGTAAAACAGTCTCAAAGTGACTAGAGTTGGGTGGAGAACAGGCGAAGTGGAAGTTAAAGATAGAAGTGAAAAAAAAAAAAAAGGATGAAAACCCTGCCCTCATATGTTTAGCATATACCTCTATTTATCAATTAAAATATTAATAACCCAATAATGCATATTTTTCACATATTTTACATCAAAATAATGCAGAGGAAGGATGAGCACAAGCGAAACAGCCAGGCCACAGGGCTGCTAAAGCAAACACAAAATTCCACTTCACAGTTTTCCTAGGGTAGGGCCTGACTCCAAAGCGTATTTCCTTCAGAACTCACAAAAAACAAATAATTCTTTTTCTCTGTATAATACAAATAACTTGGTAAAAATTCTTATCAAATAAACTATAACAACTATATAAAGATTTAAAGACAATTAGAAGCAGAAGAAGGATGGTGGGGCGACTCCTTAATACTTCCAGCCAGTAGTTTGTATATAGGTCAAACCACTGTTTTCGAGTTTTAAGTTCAGTCCCAGTGAGGTACCTCAGAGGTTTCCCACGGGTCTGCATCGCTCCTATTCTAGAGAAGCACTTCCTAAATTGTCATTTGTTCCTCCTTTGGTTCTTTCTACCCTTACCTACAACTTAACACATGTTCTGTGAAGAAAAAAAAAAAGTTTCTCAGTAAAACATATTTGGAAAACACAACATGCTACATATCGCCTTCTTAGAGATTTCTGGTACACAGGGCACATTAAAGGGTATCGAAATATCTGAGGGGTTCTGGGAAAGGAAAATCTGTGTAACTGAACTCATATCCCAAATTTATTTTATTTATTTTTTGTATTTCATTGTTTTTATCTTTTATTATTTTTCAATTTCTCAATTACATTTGACATTCAATATTATTTTATATTAGTTTCAGATGTACAGGATACTGGTTAGACATCTATATAATTTATCAAGTGATCCCCCTGATTAGTCTAGTACCCACCTGGCACTATACATAGTTATTACAATATTATTGACTATATTGCCTATGCTGTGCTTTACATCCCCATGACAATTTTGTAATATTTTTAATTTTTTAAAGGTTTTTATTTAAATATAACTAACACACAATATTATATTAGTTTCAGGTGTATACCATCATTGTCCAACACTTATATATCTAAGGAAGTGATCACTGTAATAAGTCCAGCAACCATCTGACACCTGTGCTATCAGAATATTATTGACTTTATTCCCTATGCTGTACATTACATCCCCATGAGTTATTTGTTTTATACGTGGAAATTTGGAACTCTTATTCCCCTTCACCTTTCCCCTCCGCCTTTTAAAAAATTTTCCAATTATAGTTGACATTCAATATTATTTTATATTAGTTTCAGGTGTACAGCATAGTAGTTAGACATTTACATAATTTACAAAGTGATCCACCTGACTAGTCTAGTACCCACCTGGCACTATACATAGTTTTTACCATATTATTGACTATATTCCTTATGCTATACTTTACATCCCCCTGACTATTTCATAACTACCAATTTGTACTTAATCCCTTCACCTTTTTCATCGTGCTTCCACTCCCCCTCCCATCTGGCAACCATCAGCTTTTTCCTTGCATCTATGAGTCTGTTTCTGTTTTACTTCTTTGTTTTGTTCTTTGGATTCCACATATAAGTGAGGTTATATAGTATTTGTCTTTCTCTGTCTGACTTATTTCATTTAGCATAATATCTTCCCCTTCCCTGTCCCCACCTTCACTCCCAGGAATACCTATTAGCATTTTACAGGCCACTGGTATTCTCTAGTAGAGTGTTCAGAAAATGCTATTCCAGGGATAAAAGTATTACATCTTTTTGCCACTTTGAAAGGATTGTGAAGATTTAAAAGACTTACCAAAAGGATCTACTTAATATCCTGAGAGTTCATATTTTTGCTTAAATTTGGCTTCTTGGTACAGTTGTTTAGCTTTTGCCCTATCATTCTCCTGATTGAAACATCATCTGAGTTGGGAAATAACTGCTTTGTGATTCCTGTAAAAAACACAATAATAACACATAAAAACACTTTATTAAGCCTTTGCATCTTAAGGTAGGAACTGAGATAAAACATCAAGCAATCCACATTATAATTTTGTCTCCATTTTGCAAAAGCAACCCAAACACACAAAAGATATTTAAATAGATGAGTATATAAACAGGTTTTATAAAGCAAAGTAAAAGATAATGAAGGTCTATATTATAAACTGAGAGCATACATATTTGTCTTCCTATAGTACCACTCAATTTTAACCTTGCTACTTACCCTGAACTCTAAGTCCCCTTGCTCCAAAATGTTGGGAATTTAATTTTATGCATCCCAACATCAGTTGAAACAACTAGAGTCTGACTGACCCTTTTCCAAGTAAGAAATTACATACTATTAAAACATAGAGAGCTGGGATTCCGCGATTCCCTAAATTTGTTGGATATTTGCAAGAAAAAAATTATCTGATAATCTAGATTATTACATTTAAAGAGATTCATTAATTTAAAAACTGTAAACAGGATAGTCAAATTAACTTCTATTTTTCTAGAATAAAAGATAAGGGATAGAACCAAGATAAGACAGAAAAACAAAACTGACATCATGTTTGAAAGGATTTTGAAAATTTATTTTTCTAACGCTACGAATTTAATGAATCCAACCTTTTCAGTGATATAAAATTTATTTTTAATTTAATAACTGCTTTTAATGTAAAGGTTTGCTACACAAGTTCCCATATTTAACAAGGTGTAAACTAGTCTGAGATTTTTCTTTCATAGAAAAATAAACTTGAAGAAGAAAGACCATGAAAGAAAAATTTAAACCTTGAATGGTAAACTATTTCAAATTCATGTGACAGTAAAATGCAATCATATTATCACCTATGATTTCTTGAACTTCATTCTGATTCATAGCTGGCTTTACAGCTTTGTCCCTCGAAGTAGAGGATTTTGCACCCGTCAGGCTGTGTGTGGCCATGTATTCATTTGTGTAAAGTACTTGCATTAAATCATTAATAAACTTCTGAGGCTTGCTCTTGTTACAACGGGCAATCTGCCATTTTTCAATCTTGAACTAAAAAATAATAAATGAAATTAAAAAAAAAAAAAAAGAAAGTAATACCTGGAGAAATATACTTTTAATTAAGACATGCCAGAAAACAAAATCAACATACTTTAAAATGAGGTATTATACTTTTAATATATATTTTACATTTCAGGAGTTAGAGTTAAATGTTATCTTTGAGATCATTCCTCATATCTGTGAACCAGAGTATATACAAATTCTTGTCATGGAATCTGGATTTGGTGCTTGAAGGATTAGTTCCCTTCTCAACACTTCCTAACTAAGTGCAGTAGGTAGAACAATGATCCACTGAAGATATCCACATCCTACTTCCTGGGTCTTGGGAATATGTTGCCTTATATGGTAAAAATGACATTGTAGGTGTGATTAAAGTTAAGGATCTTGAGATGGGGAGATTATCCTGGATTATGCAGGTGGGCCCAAACTAATCATAGGAGCCCTGAGATGCAGAAGAGGGAGACAGAAGAATGGATCAGAAAAAAGAGACAGAGGAGAAATTTGAAGAGTAAGAGGGATTTTGTTTGCATGCCTGGCTTTGAGGATGGTGGGAGTGGGCCTCCAGCCAAGGAATGTAGTTGCCTCAAGAAGCAGGAATGGCCTTCAAGTTTATAGTCAGCAAGAAAACGGGGACCTCAGTTCTACAATCAAAAGAAACTGAATTCTACAACAACCCGAATGAACAGGAAACAGATTTTTCTACAGAACTTCCAGAAAGGAGTGCACCTGCCAACAGCTTGAAGTTACCATACTTCTGACCTACAGGACTCTGAGAAAGTACATTTGCATTATTATCAGTCACTGATATTGTGGTAGTCTATTATACAGCAAAAGGAAATTACACTAAGATTCAAATATTCTGAATGTTAGCTTTTTAGTGTTTAATGATAGCTCCTGGAGGCATATTTTTCAAGACTAATACCTGAGTCTAACAAAACGCTTGCCTTTTTAGCTTGTTTCTTAATTAAGAGAAACTGGGAAAGTAGAAAAAGAATTGTGTCCAGCTGACACGCAGAGGCTGAAATTTACCTTCTCTCAATGATAGAATTTTACCCCTTAGCGCATAGTTATACTTCTGACAGTGGATTAAGAATTTTCTAGTTTAAAACTTCATCATTGTTCACAATTTGACTTTAGTTTTTTTTAGCTGGATATTGGTTTCACAAATATTAATTTATTGTGGAAAAAAAAAAGAAAAACTATTTAAAGCAATTGGAATGTTATGGTTGTGTTCCTAAAGTTACCTAAAGTTATCCGATGGAACAATGGTCATTTTGTACTCTTATGTTAATTTTTGTATTTAACTGTATCCCAGTGAAAGATAGGACACGTATTCCAACTGACCTGCTTCTCCTCAGTCTGATGCTCTTCTTCAGCTCTCAAGGAAACCGGTGAACTGGAATTAGAATCAGAATTACTGCACATTGAGGCAAAAGATTCTGGTGAGGAGTTGTTGGTTGCTCTCCAGAGGGTGGATGCAGGTGTAGACATGGTCCCTCCACCCTTGAGGACGGCCTCTGCCATACCAACCAATTCTTCAAACTGGGTAACTGCCTGTGGTAACACTAGAATGGCAAGAAAAAGTAACGCTTTAGAAATACTTTTAATAATGGGCATATATATATATATTTAAAAAATTTTTTTTAATTGGGTAGATAGGCATAGAAATATGTGGAACAAATTGTTAACATTTGTTACCTTTGAAAAATGGTTGTAGAGTGGTTCGAACATATTTACTTTTTATTATTAAATAATTAATAATTGCTTAATAAAAAATCAATTTTAAAACATTTGGTGATTGCATTTAACTGTATATGTATTGCATCGTAACTAAAATCAATGTTTTAATAAGTTGATTCTTTTTTCTAACTGCTAATAGTAGTGTTTGAAGGTATTTAATATCTTCATTGTAGACATTACTGATTCTATTATCAATCACCTTCCAGATACTCCAGCTTAAATGACAAGATAAAATTAACCATTTCGCATATATTGAATAAATTTTCTATGAACTTTGTGTGTGGTTTGCCAGGGAGTCAAATTTTATCAAATTAATAAAAAGTCATTGTCACAATTCAAACCTATGTTTTCACATACTAAAGATGAATTTTAGTAGTCAACTGTATGTTCTCTTTGTTCCTTTTTTTTAAATGGAAACTTACACATTCAAAGGTTTCATGCCTCCATGTAAAATGGTCTTCTCTGGTGTTATATTTAGTTTGTTTCCTAAGGACAAATAACATGTTGTTGGAGTTGGAAGTCACCTTAAACCCTATCTAATGGAACTCTTCACTCTGTGGTTGAGGGTACTGCCTACTGGAGAGGCAAAAAGACTCTGAAACGTTTTTGTACTTACCTTAAGCATATTATTGAACTATAACCTTTGGAATAATACTTGATTCGAGAGCTGAAAATCACGTATATTGATGACATGTCCAAATCAATACATCTGGTACTATATTAGTAGATAAAGATGAAAATCTACTAAAGAAAATCTTATTTTATATTATTTCAATTAATATTTACTAAGCATCTCTCATGTGCCAGACACTTATTTAATTAGCGATTATTTATTGAGCCTTTAATACTATTAAGCACTTATCTACGTAGCTTTTACTCTGTGCCAGGCACTATTCTGGTGACTTGACTCATGTTCATTAATTTAACCCTCATTTTTACTCTTTGAAATAGGTATTATCTTCATCCCCAATTTAGAGAGAAGGACAATTACACAATGCAAAGTTACGTCACCCATCCAGGCTCAACCAAATTTGTGAAAAGAAGGGCAAAGATTCAAATTCAGACTCTGCCAATTTCATGCTATAAACTACAGCTGACCCTTGAACAACACGAGTTTGAACTACATGGGTCCATTAATATGAGGATGTTTTTCAATAAATACATTGGAAAATGTTTTGGAGATTTGTGACAATTTGAAAAAACTCAAACCATGTAGCCTGAAAAATTAAGAAAAAGTTAGGTATGTCATGAATGTTATATGTATATAATACATATAACATTCAAAATATGTGTTAATCGACTGTTTATGTTATCAGTAAGGCTTCCAGTCAATGGTAGGCTATTAGTAGTTAAGTTTTTGGGGAGTCAAAAGTTACACGTTGACTTTTGACTGCATGGGGGTGGTCAGCACCCCTAACCCCTGCATTGTTCAAGGGTCAACTCTACTATGTTAGCAGACTCTCAAATATTTGCCAACCACTGTGTTAGGTGCTGGGGGTAAAACTGAGAGCAAAATCAGATGTAAGTCTAGCTTTGTGGAACTGAGAGAGGGTGGGGAGCATCATATATATATATATATATATATATATATATATATATATATATATATATACACATATATACATATATATAATTTATTTATTTATTATTATTATTAGCAAGTTGTATAGTAAGAATTTGGCCTGCTCAAAGTGAGGTCTCCTTCCCAACCCTCCTCTCCCCCCAATTCCAAGAAAATAATCTCTAAATCCTTAGAAATTCCCAAGGGTAGGAGTATCTTCATTAGTCCTGATGATGCTCTCAGACCACACCTTATAGTATCTGCCAAGTAGTTTCTCAGGGTGGGAACAATCACACCCAATAGTCTTAGGGTAGAAGCTGGCCATGGCCAGAAAGCCTGAAAGATTTACAGAGTTCAACCACATAGGCAATTAATTAATCAATCAATCAGTCAGTCAGTCAGTCAGTCAGTCAGTCAGGTCTACATAATGAATCCTCAATAAAAACTTTGAACACTAGAGCTCAGGTGGGCTCCTGGATGGGTAACACTCCATGCATATTGTCACACATAGATGCTATGAGGATAACGCATCCTGAGGACAGCAGAAGATTCACATTTGGAAACTGCCCAGACTCCGCCCTATGTGTCTCTTCCATCTTTGGTTGGTCTAATTTGTATTCTTTCCTTGTAATAAATGAAACCATGATTATAATAGGTTTCAATGAGTTGTAAGTTTCTCTAGTAAATTATTGAAACTGAGGATAGTTTTGGAAAACTCCAGAACTTGGGGGTAGCATCAGAAGTCTTAGGCAGACTTGGCAGTCTAGAGGACAGTGCCCTTAATCTTGCAGTTTGGCTAACTGAAGGTACGTGCAAAGAAATGAAACATTATAATTGTTAAGTGTGTAAAACATAACATAAATGGAGCCACTTTAAAATGGAGCTGGAGCCACCATCCCAGAATAACTGCCTTTGCACACCTTACTCCTCAAACTTTTGGAATGTTAAGACTGGACAAAATAACCTTTGGACTGGCCTAAAGCACTATTGATTCCAAATAACTGTTTGCAAAGATAACAGATTAACCAGACTAAAAATTAAAAATATTCTTTAAATAACAATTTCTTCTGTAATAGAAAAGAACAGTATGTCTAAAGTTTTCTCAATAAACATGTGTTTGGAGAGAGTGATCAGAAAAAAAAAATTCTTTAGAATTAGCATCACCATTTTAGCTTATTTGCATGCGTGAAAATTCCTTCTTTCTATTCATGTAATTGTTCCCATTCCTTTTTGCATAAACACCCTTTGCCTTCACCTTCTAATTTGAACTCTATTTGGGTTTCTGCCTCAGTCAATGCTTCCTGAATAGCTATGCTTTTGGATCTCAAATAAATGCTTGTTGTCTCTCACTTTGGCCTTTTATTTTTAGGTTAACAAGTGCCACAAAGGAAAGCATCAAGTGCTTGAATAATCCTGGGGAGGGGAGTGGCATGGAAGGCTTCTTTGGGGACATCAAGACTGATCTGAGAGCTGAAAGCTGAGCATGAATTAAAATAGCTGGAGGGGATAAGGTGGTCATCAGAGACAAAGGAAACACAAGTTCTGTAGTTGAGGAACTGCAAGAAAGCCAAAGCTAGAATGCCAAGAGAAAAGTGAATTTGGTATAAAGTGCTGATTCAAGACCCTTTACCATGTTTTCTAATAATGAAATTTGTACCTGTTCTTTGGAATATATCCTTGTCATTTCTTTCTGTGTAGCTCTCTATATGCATGTATTCTCTTTTACACAATTAGGTTCTGTTTACAGAATTATGGTTCTGTTTTCCAAATAGGACTGTAAGGTGAATATTTTTCCTGTTTTATTAGATTTTTTTTGGAAAATATGACTTTTGAGGTCTAATGTACATAGAATCAAAGGCAAGATCTTACATGAAGTCTGAGTGGAAATTAAGTAGGTAAGGGAAATGAGTTTGACAAAAGGATACACACCTGGTTAATGTACACGCATCAAACTATAGAACACTTCCATCCTCTCAGAAAGTGGCCTCATTCATGTCCCTTCTAAGTCAATCCCGGGACTTGCCTCAGAGGCAACCACTGATCTGACATCTTTCTTTACCATAAATAAGTTTTACCTGTTCTCGAATTCCATATAAATGGGTTCAAACAGTATACATTCTCCTCTTTCTGACTTTCTTTTAAAAGTAAAGTTTATTGGGTGACAATTGTTAGTAAAGTTATATAGGTTTCAAGTGTACAGTTCTGTAATACATCATCTATATATCACATTGTGTGTTCACCACCCAGAATCAATGTCTGACTTTTTTTTCTCTGCATGTTTTGAGATTCATTCATGCTGCTCAGTTATTATTCATTTTTAGTTGTTGTTGCTGACTAATATTCAATTATACGAATGCTCCACAATAAATGTATCTGTTCACCTGTTGATGGGTTATGTGCCACTTGAAAAAACAACTTTAATGGTTCCCTAATATTCCAAGGTATTGATGTTATATAATTTACTTAAACGCTTTTTTAAAAAAAATCTTTTTGGAATTTAGTTTGCTTCCAATTTTTCTTTATTACAAACAAAACTCTGATGAACTGTTTAGCCCATATATCTTCATATGCCTCTCTGATCACGTCAATGCTATAAATTCCTGAAAGTATAATAGGGTCAAAGGTATAAATGTTTTCGAGTCTAAATATTGCTGCTAAATTACTCTCCAGAATGATTCTTCCAACTTACGCTCCCACTGGTGAAGTAAGAAGTGGGCTATTTCACTGCACCATCAATAACAGGTATTAATCACTAACAACAATCTTCACTATTTTGATAGGTTAAAATCTTAGTACAATTTAAATAGCAATTATTGATTATTGTGAAGTTAAATGTATATTATTTGTTTATGACTATTTGAATTTTATCTATGGATTATCTATTAGACCATGGAATATTAGTACTTTTTCTATGTTATAAGAAGTTAAAGGTTTTTGTAAAGTGCTAATAGATACAATGTGTTAGCTATTATTAACTCCCTTACATATTAAGCATTTTAACCTTTATTTGTCATAAGTTGCAAGTATTTTTCCTAGAGTGTTTATCTCTTAATGTTAAGGTATTTTTGAAGCACACCCACATGCATTTTTAGTTTTTATTTTAGGTAAGTAGCAGCCTTTTCTTTAGTCTATTATCCATTAATTTTATGCTTAAAAAGTCATTCATCATTCAGATTAGTTAAATAGTTCCCCATATAGTTTGTATAGTTTAAACATCTTTTTACAAGTAAGCTTTTTCCCCAGAGGTATATTTTGAGCTTCTAA